GCCCAGTCAGCCGCTCTCGATTTAGATTTGAGGATTAGGTGTTACGGCGCTCCTACATGCCAAGACAGCCTTGGACAACTTTTGTCCTTAGTTGCAGGTTGCTTGCTTTAGCCCAATGTTGGACATGTCCGTTGACAACAGACCGTTGGACAACAAGCTGTTCCAACTCTGACTTATTTGTGGAAACATGTTGTTGCTTTTGAACCGTAACAGATCCATCTATGTATTGGGATATTTCATTGTGAGACACGTCCCTTCGCAAAGCATCAGCGGCGGTGTCAATGCTTGTAAGGGAGAGCCCCCAGCCGTTTCCCCTCTTGTTCCCAATCGATCTTTAGGGTCACTTCCTTTAAACCATCATAAACCCATGCATAGAACATCATAGAACATTTGGGTGGTGGTGGTTTCAGATTTGATACCCTTATGTTCAACCTTTGCTTGGGATGATTGGCACTTGCTGAGAGAAACACCGACAGGAATGCCATCACCGTAGTCATCACCCTTGCCTACACCGGTCCCATTTTTCGCATCTTTCTTGTGAGTTGAAACCACCAACCAGAAAGACCACCAACCAGGAGGTCTTTGAAGCTACTAGTAACTAGAATCGTTTCACTGGGAATATTTTCACTGGGAATCGTTTCACCTATAGCTACCAGGAGCCTTTCGGCCGGTCGCAGCCTCCTTTTTCGCCAGTCCAAGCACTCACATCTGACGATGCGTGTGTCTTCTCCAGGTGGCTTCGACTGCGGCGATGATGCACCTGGAGGCGGATGAAGATGGGCGAAAGAAGGGCTCGCCACTGGTGGAGATGGTGGGGATGGGCGGCAAATGACAAAGTGATTCATGATGTTGCAAGTCTAGGAGTCTCAGGTTACAAGCTCTAGGCTCTAACCCCCAAACCTCAGTTCCTCGGATGAGTGAACCTTTACCTCGACTTCTCAAGAGACTCTCTCGAGGTTTCCCCAATAGTTTCTGGAAGTGGATGGCGCGAAGACGATGTTCCGAATACCAAACAGGGTACTAGTAAGTGGGAGTGTAAATATGTTGTTGCCTCTTTGACTTTGCTGGGGGCTTCGAAGGCCGCAGCTGGCAGCTGCGTCCAATCCCCGCCATCTTCGACCTTCGCAACGCCTTGAAACGACTTGGTTTGGTGTCACAGGTTGACCACTCAAACTTCCGGTCGGAGTCCGTTCTTCCGGAGCTTAGAATTCAGCAGGCAGAAGAGCCCTTCAGCGAGTTCCAGGGGGCATGAGCAGACTTAAGACTTTTCGGAAAATTCATCAAACTCCCAGAACTTTCTGGAGGTAAAACCATTCTATAGACGGGGGGGGTTTAACAGTCATCACTTGTCTACAGAAACATGGTGTGTATGGTGTGTCTTCGAGGTTTCTTCCAGGTGCTCCGTCCCTTAGGCCGTCCTTGGTCCCTTGGTCCTTTGGTCCTCACCCTTCCACAACCGATCGATGGGCCCAAAAGCGAGTCAGCTTGCTTGATTCGACGCACGAAGGCCTGCTCGAAGCTCGAAGCGGCCTTTGCAGCTGAGGACCGGAATACGACCCAGCACAATTCCGGCCTGAATCCAGCCTTGGTCTTGGTTGGTGGAACAACTACAAAAGAAACCCTGGTCATGAAGAAGCAAGTGCGGTTGATGGAGACGAGCTCATCCCTACAGGTCAGAAAAGGGTGGGTTTATAGACCCCCGGGGAAGAGGTGTTGTTGTTTTTCATTGTACCATACGGGTCGCACAAGGCCACCCGTAGGGATTTGTGGAACATATTATAGATAACATATTGGAAAAGACTGACTGGTGCGACTCGTAGGGAAGAAGGGAAGACTGAGCCCCCAAGAGAGATTCGGATCCAGCCACCCTCATTCCCTGCTTTCGACGCACCGCACCAGTCAGAAGATCTTGTTTCATCGGCACCAAGAAGTCATCCCCCAGTCCCAAGGGGCGACTCCCGCTGATGGTGTGGCATTGTCAGGTCGCAGATTGGATCCCATGATGGAAGAGGGGTTGAAGATGGTTGAATGATGGTTGAATGATGGTTTAAGATGGTTTTTTTAATGGAAGGTCCATCATATCCGTTCGGTGAAACGCCCTGGTTGATCCTGGATCAACGATACCAAGGGACCCTCAGTGTGCGCAGTGAAACCAGGGTGAATCTTGGAAGCTCATGTGGTTTGATCATGCCATGGTTTGATTGCCATTCTTTGATCAGCTTATGCCACTTCTCAGGTTTCACTGTTTCACCATCAGAAGAGTAGAAGTGGCTTGGAGATGCTTGGAGACCGGAGCACCGGAGCAGAACACCTGTCTTCTCCCACACTCGTCCGCGCCGCGCGGCGCACCGGCGCACCGGCGCACCGGCGCACCGCGCGCCCGACTCAGAGAACTCAGCTTCCCCTGCGCGCCACCCGCGCGGCGCGAGGATCCGTCCGCTTTTCCCATGGATGCCTTGGCGGCCATCCACAAGTGTGCCGATCCGGAGACGCGCTCAGCTTTCCAGGCCGACGGCCACTGTGAGTGCGTGGTCACGGCCGCGACGGCCGGCCCGTCCGGTCCCAAATGAACCAAGGTGAAGGGGAAAGCGAAGGTGAGGTGTGCAACTAAATGCAACCTGCAGGGGGGGGTGCAAAAATGCGCCAACGATGTTGGATGATTTTTGTATATTCTGTTCTTATTGTTTTGTTCGTTGTGCTGTTGCGAAAAGAAATCATGCAACGACGGATTTTTGTTGATGTGAAACCATGTGAAACCCCACCAGCACGACCAAACAACACTGGAACCCGCACTTTGGCTGCTGCCCTAATCCTGAACTGAACTCTGGATTCTTCACTAAGACTGCGAAGGTGTACACTTAAATTGTCAAATAGTTGATCACAGACTTATCCAACTTTCCAAGGACTTTTGGAACCCCTGTCCTTTGGGGTGTCCAACCATTTGTTGCTGGCAGGTTCATGTTCAACAGTTGTGGCCGGGGGCCCGAGGTCACCCCTCCACATGGTCAACCCCCCTTCAAACCAAACGACTGCGCTGCGGGTGGTCGTCCGCGCGTACCGAGTCGGGTCGCAGAGCGACGTCGGGTTGGCAGGCCATTGTGAGCGCTTGCAAATCGGAGAGGCGTCCCTCCACTTTGAGCTCTTTGATGAGGTGGGAAGTGCGTTTAGCTCTTCGATTGAAGACTAGCAGCTGGAAGAGATGGAAGAAGGGGTGATGTCTTGTACGTTCTTACAGAAGGTATTCTGATCGAGATTCTCATCTAGTCCCCCTGTAACGTGTTTGTTGATTTGTGGGAGTTCCTGTGGGCAAACAAAGGGAGAAGATGGATTGGATCGTCGACGTGTTCCCTCGGACTCTTTGGATCTTCCCGACGATTTCACTGAGTTCAAACCTGGATGCCGCTGTGTGCAAGTAGAGTTGCTTTAGGTGTAGCTACTCCAACAAGCTTTGCTAGTGCTTCTTCCAACAAAGATCAACAAAGTCAGATTGTCAGCTTGCAACAGGTTGAAGAAGCCGAAGAAAACTCGGCTGTTGACCACCTAGCCAATTGGCAAGTGGTGGCTGGATCTGATTTGGTCGCCCTTTCTCCAAGCTGAATGTCTTCCGAATACCCTCCGCATCCGCAGCTAGCTCTACAGTACACCAGGTCAGAACCCCAAAGTCTTTGTAGACTGATCGTTCTTTTGCTTCAGAATCCCGCAACAGCACAAGACACCCACGTCAATACATGCAGACTTTGGTGACAAGGTGTTCTCCAAACAGGTGCTGTTCGGATTGCGCGAAGCACTCCACCGAGGGGTTTGTGTTCCACCCTGCAATTCAGTCTCGTCTCAGCATCTTTGCAGGCGGAGCAAGCGCGCTTGGGTGCTCAAAGGGGTCGGGTTTGGCGAAAAAGTGTTTTGTGGTGGGAGCCCGATGTAGTTCGATGGTGTGTTCTCCATACATGGCATGGCCAAAAGTGCTGTTTTACCTGTAGTTCCATGTCGTTTTCTCCCTTTTGGCATGCTCAAGAGTGCTGTTTTACCCGCATTAATAGGAGATGTGCATGGGAAAAGTGACCGGAGGCTGTGTTGATTCATCGTCAACACCCACCAACATCTTTGACTTTGCAATGAGTCACTGTAAAGCAGGCTTGCAAATGCACCTATAAGGGGCATGAACGGGCAGTTAGAAGGGCACCCCCGGGGGTGTGCCGTGATCCCGGTCGCCCTTCATGTGCAATGGCTGGCTAAACTATGGAGCTAGAGCAGAGTTTCTGCATCCCATGCAATGCGAATTCCTTCAAACACAACCTTTTACAGCCTTTAGCAACTTGTAATGACGGGATGCCAGGTCGAAGCACGGATCATCTTTAGGCCTATCACATGCTCTGACCGGCTCCTCTCTCGAGGGTCGGGAAGATCGGATTGTTCCGCCGAACGGCGGGTGTGACCGGCTTAAAGGTATTGTTATAGAGCCTGTACCCCCAAGTGGGTCACAAAGCTGTGTGCCACATCTATGGTGCTCAGTTGGAGTGTTTTCAGGAGAGTTGAAGGACTTGTGTAGGCCTGAGGTTCTTCCCAAGTCCTTCAGAAAGTGCTTCAAAACGTTCACTGACTTGCAGACGGACCCCACACTGAGAAATTGAGAATTCACCAGTGGTGGAAGACCAGACCGTTTTGGGATGTGTGGGGATCGTAAATCTGGAGGAGGAAATGCGTTGAATTGTTTGATTGGATTCGGATAGGGCAAGCATAGATCCTTCATGATCCTTCTGAAAAGGCCCGTGAACACCGTGGAATCTCAAGGTAAACTTGGTCTAGACGTGTTTTTTAGCTGCTCCACACTCATGGACCCGCGACTAAGCCTTCTGGATAACAAATAGTTTCAAGACCCACAAATCACCCAATAGCCTCCACATGCCTCAATTATTTATTAACCGGATATTCAAACATATCAGTGCAATAGCCTATACTATATTCCTATAGCCTATTATAGCCTATAGCCATAGCCTATACTGTAAGTGATGCCTAGCCTCACCTTATGATGTCACTGTCGCTTTCGATCCAAACGCCAGGTTGAGAAAGACCTTCAATTGTGTACCACCCAATATACATAATGCATGTTTCTTGGCATATATTATGTATATTGGGTGGCATATATATGGTACCTGGCATACATACACCCATGTTTCTTAAGTACATCGCATATATGGTACCTGGTATCGACCTCCTTCCTTCTTCCCCCAGGACATCGCATTTGTCGCTTCCACCGCTGCTGAGCGGCGGCTCTCAGGCTGCCTCTCAAGAACTGCTCTGGGAGCTCCGCCGGGCCTTGTGTGAAAAGTCGCCCGGTTTGAGCGGACGGTTCGAGCGGAGCGGTTTGGCGTGACGTTCTCGGTTTGGCTCGGGTTCGGTGATGGACGGTTTGGCGTATGTTCTCTTTTGGAGACCCCCAGCGCCCCCCAGGTAGACTGGTCCATAGCCATTGGGCCAATCTGGGGGAGGCTACAGATCCCAGTGCGGTCTGTGTTCCGACCCGAACCCAGGTCTTGACGCCTGGGAGGTCTCTCTATTTTTGGTGCACACGCTTATGAGAGGCAAAGAACGGGCGGAAAAGTCTTGAGGTGAACAGAGGCCCTGAATTTCAATTGTGTGGAGACCAACGTTGTGTATTTACGTTTTATTGTTTTATGGCTCCTTGCTGATTCCTCGGGGCCGTCATGGAGGTGGTTCTCTCAAAGCAACAAGTTATCTTTTTGAGCCCAGGCTTCTAGTGCGAGGTCGCTCGGCCTAGTACATGGACATGGAATATGGACCCTTTTGAAGCAATACTTGCTTTTGATGAATCCAGGCTATTTGGACAGAGAGAAAGCCTTTACCACCTTGCGGGCCAATGTGGTCCAACTCCAACTGATTCAGCGAAACTGGAGTCACACCCCCGACTCACTCACTTGGAAGTGCATAACACCACCTGTTTGGTCTTAAACATGGTTTTGGCGTTTTTCACTTGGGCCCCATGGTGAGTGACAAATCACCTACCCCCTCCCCACCGAGGCGCACTCCTGATATGGCTTTGGCGGTCTGCGGACCCAGCGGGCGCGGAGGTTCGTGGTCCTTTTGGTGTCCGGAGCGAGATATTTCGGGTGGTGAAACCTCAGATGCCTTTTGATGTCCAACCTCTACTTGGGATGATGGAATCCACTGACTCATATTTGTTTACTGTAAGTAAGGTGAAACCACCAACCAGGAGAGCAAGTGCTTTATATAGATGTTGGTAGCATTTGAAGACACCATAGGGAAGTGGTTCACAGGTCCCATTTCTGAATGTGAGAGGCACGCGCCGGTGGGTCCTGTGGGTGTTCCAAGCTATATAGAGCATTTTGGCCCCTAAAGCGATCCGGGTGTCCAAAAAGCATTGGATGAGGGTTCTTAAGACCGTGATTGGCCGATTCATTCTTCAGGCGCAGCTGGGGAGCTGTTTTGGGCGCTGAAGAAAGCTGTTGAGCGATGTAGGCGATGCCAGGGTTCAAACAAAATGGGTGTATGATGATGTATCTTTGGGTCCCCTGGGTTGGAAAGCAGGGCTTACCAGGATAAAACGCAGGAGGAGAGAGTAGAGAAGAGCACATTGAAGGGTTAGAGAAGACACCACGGTGGCACCTTTGTTTTGCCGTCCGCAGATGTTTGATATGTTTTGATACAGTGACGTGAGTTTAGTATAGTGTATTTTGTGCTGCACTGCAAGGTAACGCTTTCTTTCACTCCTTTGTGCAGTGATGTAATTAGGTGAATGCAAAGCCCAGTGTCATTCAGTGCCGGTGACAAAGTCAGTGTGAACTCCTTGTGAGCCGGGTGGAAACCTCGGCCACACCCATGAAGACGTGCCTTTGAAGGAGATTGGCTGTGACTCTGAGTCACGGGTTTGAAGTTCCCGTCATGCTCTATGCAATCCAGGCGGGTTGAGCCAGTGGACGTCTCCGAAGCTGCGACCGAACTTGGTTCGTTTAAATGCAAAGGGCAGGCAGCTCTTCCAGACAGAGAAGCTTCGAAAGGCATGGTGTGGATCTACGCTTCGGCATACCGGTGGCGGCTGGGCGGCCGATGATGGTCGGTGGCGGCAGGCGAGAGCAGCTTTCGGGAGCTACAAGCAAGGGTTGAGAAGGTCGAGCTCGACGTCGAGCGGTGGACCTCTTGCGGAGCCCACGCCGTAGGCCACCAAACTTTCCTGCACCACGCTTTCGACGCCCAACCGACCCAAAGCAATTAGACATATTTTTTTTCACTGGATCAATCAACACTCCGGATCCATGCACATTCGCAACGAGCCTATGATTGCCTATGTCTCAAAAGTCCTGGCAGCCGCACACCTCAACACTTCACATTTCACAGACTTTCTGCTACTGACACATTCCAAATGGAATGAAGATACTAAGAAAAACGACCTCCACGAATTCACTGTCCTCATCATTCCTGCTTTGGCCAATCGCGGTGATGCACCCACATTACCTCCACCGAGACGCGAAGCTCTAAACATTCCGGCCATCAAGCATGTATTTGCAGCGCATGTCAGTGAAGAAGACAATAGTATATCTATCCTGCAAGCTGGCGAAATAGTCAGGTCAGTGCTCCACGATTCCGACAACGTCGCATTTTTCTGCCAAGCATTCGAGTTGACTAACAATGAAGACCACGACGCAGCTGAAGCAGCCAGAGTGCTTTTCAATGCATCAAATATGGCCAAGAATAGGAGCGGCTTGATTCTTACTATTAAAGCGTACAGACAAGGCCAAAAAGTTACATATGGGGGAGAATCTGCAAGACAACAAAACACTTGCACTCCCCGTCCTTCTGAGTATCATTGAGAATTGGTTTCTTTAGCTAGTTCTTTTTCAAAACTGACAGCTTCCCAAAGCCATGAATTCCTTAATCAATCCTTTGTGTCAAGATTGCTACTAAACAAATGTTCAAGGTAATAGACCAGGACCGGCCCCTGATTCTCAATAATGGATCTGATTATAGGGTTCTCAATTGTGAATAAACTTTTTCACCAGTAAAGATAAGTCCTTTTCCTGAGATCTTAATACTACTAAGCCAATGACTGGCTTTTCCTGCAATATCCCTTTACCTAGCTGCTAAGATCTGAGCCTACACAGGAAAAGGATTGCTGAGAATATCTAATTACAAAGAACCTCAAAAAGGAAGATGAAGCCTGACAATCTGTATGAAATGGAAAGAATGGACACTCAATACTACACGATCAATTGCAACATGTTACAGAGACGCTGAAGTGCTCAGAAATAGTTCTGCCACGTATCTGGGCCTCCTGTTGCCTGCCCCTGCAGGCCTGCTACCCTCAGCAAACACAGGTGGCTTCCGCACCTGGCCACTCATCAGCAAGTCTTACAGCTTCTTCTTCTTCTTCTTGCTGTCCTCAGGCAAGGTTGGACGGAAGCGTGGAGGCTTCTGCTGAACGTTGGTTGGACCATCCCAAGAACGTCTCCTCTATATAATATATCTATATATGACACCTCATGCAATTCATGACTTCAGAAAATTTTTGCTTAAGCTCGCATGGACCGCACGTTGGCAATGAGTTCCCTTAGTGCTCTACTTGTTCACCTTTTATCCAATCTGCAGCTCCACCTGCCTGGCCTGAGTGTCCGCTTTGCCCTTTGCTTGACCTCGATCTGGCAAGTTTTCTTCTCGGCCTTTGCTGCGGCTGTCGGCGTGGCCCCTAGCAGATCTTCAAGTGCCTTGTGCGTCTCTGGCTCCGACTTCGCTACGAAGACTTGCATCGTCAGTTGCAGAGTGGCCGATACCGACTCCTGTGACAAGACCTCACGATTCTCGTTTGCGGATAGTTTTTGTTTAATTGTGTGAACTCACAAGTGACAAGGGACTTGAAAAGCCTTTTGGCACTCCTCAGAGTCTATTTTCTCGACCTCCCAGCCTGCGTCAAGTACCAGTTGAGTGAGTGACAACGGAGACACTTGCGCGAAGTCTGCCCAGCTCTTTGCAGTGATGGCTGACGGAGAGTCCGAGTACGAAAGTCTGACTCTTCGCGCAAGTTGAGTCTTGTCAGGAGATTCACTCCACATCGACTATCAGTACCCGCTCGGAGTCTTCCACTTTGACGAACCATCAGTGTCATATGCAGTCATTGCAGTTGCCGAGATCGATGGCCAGGTGCTTTACCCGAAGGGGCGTGGAATCGGTTGAAGAAGCAGCGTTTTGTGCCTCCTACGACACTTTGCAGGTCGAGCGTCGTATCGGAAGATTCTTGGAGGGTGATGAGGCGATGAGTGGCAACCGCTACTTCTCCTTGTCAAGGCAAATCCGCTACTAGGATGCTGTGCTTGCACGTGCAGAGAACTTCGTTCCTTGTCCGGAAGTTCTCAATAAGGTCCAGAATATTGTTGCCCAGAGCGACGCTCATGTTGCTGCCATTGTCTGTGGCGGAATGACTACTTCTGCAGTCACGGCCCGTTACGATCACCAGCCCGTCCCCTTGACGTGTCCAGAGTGCTGTCAGGATCAGGTCCCGAGTGTTCACCACGTTCTGTGGAGTCGTCCTTGATTTGATAGTACCCATCACCACCACGATTCCCGGTCCTCAGTCTGTTATAGGTCTTCTTCGGAGGTCCTCATGTTTCGGCTCTTCACCGAATGGCCACCATTCGTGCGGCGGAAGCCACCGCGCGGGAGCGTCATCGTACTTCGAGCCCCGTCGGGGATGGCTCGTCTTCAGCGTCCTCCCAGCTTGCTGCCGTTACCTCTCTCTCTGACAGCCATTGATAATTGATGCGGATGGTTTCCAAGCTACGCGCTATATTATTTTGCCAAGACTGTGCACGCCGCATGAAAACGTGTTGAACCTGCATTGGGCCTACGCAAGAGCAGATTCCATAAGGCGGCCCGGACAACATCCATCCAGCTGAACGCCCAAGAGTTATTGCGTCAAGAAGCGACGATGACGATGCGTTGCAAGTCCGTAAGTACGTCACAAAGTCATTCATCGATCCAAAACCCTAGAACAGCGCATGTCGCCATCTCAACCTCCCAGGTGAGGAGATGGCCCAAGCAGAGAAGTTTGAGTCATATTGAGTCAGTACACAGTACACGTATCAGATTTGTTGCAACAATACGGAATGCAATTCCAAACAACGTATCACATGTCTTGCAACTGGTGTATGGATTTGTTTCTCACAAGTCATTCGGATATGTTTCACCTACATTTACATCGGAGAGTATTAGAATAGAGGACTTTCATGATATTTCATGATAACAGAAACATAATGTACGTTACTAGCTACAGTTATAGTAAAAAACAGCATTTACATGGAACAAAAAAGATGTAAAATCTTGAAGAAAATCAAGAAGGTTCGAAACATCTCAACAATAATCGAGGAAGTAAGTAGCTTTGTAGAACTAAAGGAACAATTATTTTACCAACACAAAACATCTCAACAAGTCTCGACAAATCTTGAGACATGGGAACATGGTGGTTTGTGCTTGCAAACAGGACAGTGATCAACACAATTGTGACCACAGCCACGCGGTGGATGATCTCATTGTTCTTTGTGGTCAGCTGTTGGGACCACTTTCTTCCCCAAAAATATAAAATTATCCGCAATGTAGGGATTGAGGTGTGTTCTGTGTTTTAAAACAAAATGTTTTATTATGACATATTATGACATATCACGACCAAAAAACAAACAACAAACCTGTGGAAACATGCAAAACCATTAGGAACATCCAAAAACAATACCATTGACAAAATGCAGATCAATGCTGATACATGCTATCCTGCTCTGATCTAAGCCCCCGGACCCCTCTTATCTAAGTGATCACATTATTTTTTAGTGACAAAGACTCTCTCATGCAGCGTCCTCCGTTGTTCATCTCACACGTGGCTCGTCGGTCATTCGAGGCTCGGCTCCTGGAGAGTGGTGCCACGATGCGGCCCCGAGAGGCACACACGGAGTGGGTGCAACTCCGCGGTGGTCGTGGTAACGATTGAATGAGTTTGAATGTCTAGTTGGACCACGGTTTATGGTGCTGATATGTCTTGTAGTAGGAATGTGTAGTTTCGATGTCCATATATGACGCTGATGTGTACTGGCAGGTATTTTAAGCTCGTGCAATTAGAGTGGTTTTTTTTCGCGCGAGGGGGACCACGGATCGTTGAAGCTTGGAGGGTCCAGTTTATTCTTGGGCGATTTGCAGTTCATTGAAAACTGTACTGTATCCTATAAACATAGTATGATGTTTAGGCATTCTTTGATGTAGGCATTGCATGTTTTTTTCCATTGCGAGGCACACCCAGGCCCAAAAGGATAACGTACTTGCCAATCATCCCCAGTCTTGGTCATTGGCCAAAGAAAATCATTTGTCCTCGTTTGTCCTTGCAAGAACTCCGGGCATACGCCGACATCACCCGGAAAAATATGGAAAAATAATACAAAAGACTCATTGTGATTGGATTCAAGAACCAGAGATCTCAGGTTGAATGGTTGGTTTGTTCCTCAGTGATGATTTGTTTGTTGCGTGGCGAAGAAGTCGAGTAAGTCTGTCTATATTGGCTGTCTATATGGAGAGCTGTTGGAACATCAGTTGGGAATCATATTGGTTCCTTGAGTTTTTACCTCCCCAGAAATACTTATAGACCCCCCAATCCCACCTCACACACCGAACTCGAAAGGTAATACCGTTACGTGAGCACAGATCTAAGTGGATGGTGAGTCGGAACGTGTCCAGAGGGTTGCCAACATGGGATGCTTTGACAGATTCTCATCCCATACGTCGGATACTGGGACGACGAGGAAACCCCCACCCTTTGCAGGCCCTCAATAGTAATTACTTCGTGTAAGTTCATTGGGGGTTGTTGGCTGCGAAGCGATCTGCGAGGCCCATCCGGATGGGGCTCTATGAGGGGTCTATGTTCCACCAGATCCCATGGGTTCCACTATTGAACATGACACGTTCGTAGCGATGACTGGGAGAAGATTCGGTTGCCGGGCCATGCTGCCACGAACGATTCGGTTGGTGGGGGGCAAACAACTTGCTCACCAGAAGTCACAAGACGGGGTGCCGAACGAACGGAGGAAGAGGATAGGTGCCCAGAACATCGACTCACGTAAGGGGACGTTTCACACCACTCTTCGTGACTCCAGGCAGGTCTATCCACCTTTATGTTTCTATGCTCGGGTCGAGTCAGGAGGCTCAGACAGTTACTGTAGCCGATACGAAAGCTTATTTGACCTTGTTTTAAATTGTGTATAATTAGTCCAAAACCATCTAAAACCCCTTGTAAAAAAAACTGTTGTTCGGTTAAACATGTTAAAACAAATGGTTGTTGGATGTTGATCGAATATTCGGGGTAAAGTCAGTAAAGCACATTGACACGCTCGAGCGGATTGTTTCATGCCCATTTCCGTGGAGGGCTCCGAGGAAAGCAGTGATGATGAGGAGGAGACAATTGCGGGGCTCGGAGGAGGGAGAACCTTGTGCTACGAAAGAAGGATCACTGTTTGCAATTAGCTGTACCAGACCTTTGTCAATTGTATGTTTGTTGCGCATATTTACACATGTTCCGATGTAGCAGCGTTCATAGAGCTTGTAGAGTCAGGGTTCAACCCTTTCAAGGGGTTGGTGATAAGAAGCGCAGTGTCTCAAGGGCTTTTCAGCCATTTATGTCCAGAAGAACCCAGAGGTGGTACACTTCCTGCACCAGGTCCTGCAACGGCAACGTCCTGAAAATTCATGTCGCATTCGTCAAGTGGAGTGTATTTGGGGTGATGGATGGTGATGGGGTTCTTCTGGGTAGTATCCCAGGCTACTTTCTTCGACCTTTCCACATACTGTAGTCAACTTCGCATGTCCTCATCAAGCAACAGCATTTGTTGTCTTCGACGTTCTTCCTGGTGGCATCACATGCTACTCCCCGTCCGTTCGTGGCATCAGTCCTATGTTTGTGGCCTCACTCACCTATGGATTCTTAGGGTTTTTAAGGCCCTTTTAAGGCAATCAGATAGGGGTCCTGCTGGGTTCTTCAGGTCGAGCTCACAGCTTCACAGCCTTCAGGTCCTACCTTGTGTATCGACCCTTTGCCCGGTGGCGTTTCCTCCCATGTCCCACACGCCCATCTCATGGATGGCCTAGCTTGCTATGGCTTGGTATTTATAAGTAGGGCCGGGGAGGTATAGCCCCGCTGTGAACCAGCAATATAAGGTATCCTGATGTATCCTGGCATTGTTCCCTCCATGTGTTCTCCACAAAGAACCCACCGCCGGTCGGTCGGTCCGCCGCCCATCCACGGGTGAACGGCGAACGGAGGGACTCAACGTCTCCAGGGACGGCCTGGAGGGCCTCGCTTCAGCACCGACTTCGATGAGATGCCGCGGAACGGTTTGGACTTGCTGGCGCTCAACAGGCGAGACGGAGAGACTGGGTGAGACCGGGACGGTGGGGTGGAGGACTGGTGAGACGTGACGCGACGCGCTTGGGATGGGCCGTTAATCTCTAGAAGTGACTGGGTTTGTCCGTTCGCAAAGGTGTAAGAGTGGGTAAAAGGTCTTATGACTATAGAGGGAAAGACCTGCAACCAGGATTGACCCAGAGGATAAGAGAGAAGACCATCATATAATAACCAGGGAAAGACCTTATATTATATGGCTATCCTGGCCTACTTGAGAGGGAAAGACCTGCAACCAGGCCCCGCCACTGGGGCCTGGGAGCTTGGGATAGACTTGGGCGTCATAGGGTTTTGGAGGGTTAACTGGAGGTTTGCATCGTTAGACCAGCAGTTCCATGCACTGAGTCCTAGGTCGAGCTACCCTTATTGAGAAGCAACAATTCTGACAGTGGGTGGTTGGAATCTCTCCATGCTGTAGACAGGACATGGACGGAAATGGATATGGCTCTGGGTCTTTGACCCCGAAGCCCTAATCTTTAATCGCTGGTAGGTTGACTTCCCTTATAAATTGTAGAGTCGTAGAGGAATCTGGTCGTTTTCAGCGGTCAACTGGTGGGTCTCCCGGTTTCGAGGCTCTTGCCTCTTTCACCACGAAGGGTTGCCTCCAAAACCCCCACACCTCTGGTAAAAGCCTCCAAAGCAAGCGAATTCTGGGGTGCCATTGTGGCTGACCTGTCCAATTCTCAAAATGTAGAGACACCCCAAAAAAGGGCACCAGCTTTGGATCCTCTTTGGGTCGGAGTTTTGTTCACTTCGGCTTGGAGAAGCCATCATCAGTGGGCATCATCAGCTGCTTGGCATCGCCCGGTTTTCAGGTTTGCAGATCCCAAGCAGCTGGACTTCGCCATCAACAAGGCCAGCGGCTCGAAGCGGCTCGGAGCGGCGAGTGGTTCCGAGCGTTGCCTTTTGAGAGAAGGATTTTCTCGGATCTGAGCGTTGCTTTTCCACGACGCAGTTTGTTTTTTATAGGGTGTTGACTTCCCTGAAACTATCATGAACAAATCTTACATATATAAAGTTAGACCCCCCTGTGGGCGTGTTCGGAAGAAGTGTGTTTGTGTTGTTTCCAGCTGAACAGCTGAACTAGTATGTGAGAGAATGAGAAACAGCAGAAACTCTGTAGCCACTTCCAGCACCACCCAAAGAATTGGTGCATTCTATATGGAAACAAGGTGAGCCCGCGGACCCAAAAGCAAAAAGAAGCGCACAACCCAGGAAAAATAGACAAACACACATTAGCAGGCCAAAACGAAGCATCAGCCCCCTCCAGGCTTCGTGGCAACCATGATATTTCAAGCATCGCGGTTCTGGTGCGCATCCGTCCACCCCTGTCTGCCATATACACCCCCGTCCACCCCTTGGTCAGTTTTGAAAGCCCTCCAAAACGGTCATAAAACGATTGCAACATGGCTTCTGACAACCGTTCCAGGAAGCATGGAGCAGCATCAGCCCCCTCCACATTCGCCTCCCGTCTCGCTCCCCTCCATCTTCCCTCCCCAGCCCGTCCCCACCCATGCACCTCCCGTCTCGCTTTTGTTATTCCCCAGACCGGTCCACACACATGGCAACGCACCTCCCGCCCTCCATCTTCGCCCCGTCGCCACTCATGCGCCTCCCGTCTCGCTCCACTCCATCTTCCCATGCGCCTCCCGTCTCGCTCCCCTCCATCTTCCCTCCCCAGCCCCAACCCC